CGCCTAGGTTGGGAGGCGGCGACGGGGCCGATAGGGGCGGCGACGGGGCCGCTAGGGGCGGCGACAGGGTCGCGTAGGGGCGGCGACAGGGCCGCGTAGGGGCGGCGTCGGGGCCGCGTAGGGTAAGGGGCGGCGACGGGGCCGCTAGGGGCGGCGACGGGGCCGCGAGGGGCGGCGACGGGGCCACTAAGGGCGGCAACGGGGCCGGGTGGGGGGGCGGTGTTGAGGCCGCTAGGGGCCACTAGGGGCTTGGAGAGGGCGGCGAAAAAGGCGCGCCTCGGGCAGGAGCGACTGGCGCTCCGGTTAGAAAGGAAAATTTTAGTGGTGGGCCCAAGGAAGCGTTCCCACTAGGGAACCTGCTCTATACCATGTGAAGAATGAGGAATGAATGAACTAGCAAGCAGGTGGGTACAAGTAGGAAAACCTAGAAGTGTTGTACCCCATATTGTCTACCCCACTATAGCCTACACAGACTATAGCATAAGAGTTTGACAGTACGGGCGTGAAGGGTCGGCGACGGTGAGGACTGGTGCAAAGGTGAGTGCTGCCTTGATCGAGTTGAAAGCGGTCTGCTGCGGTAGTCCCCATTGAAAGGCAGCTCCTTGACGAAAGAGGTCAGTCAACGGAGCACATATGTGGGAGAAGTTGAAGATGAACTTCCTGTAATATTTTGCAAGGCCAAAGAAACTTTGCAGCTCCGCTACCGTGCGTGGTGCTGGCCAATCAGCAAGGCACTGGACCTTTGCGGGGTCCATAGCAATGCCCTAGGAGCTGATGAGATGGCCGAGACAGCCGATGCTTGATTGAGCGAAGGTGCACTTGGAGAGCTTGGCGTAGAGGCGGTGTTGGCGGAGAGTGTCGAGGACGATGCGTAGGTGCTGAGCGTGTTCTTCAAGTGAGTTGCTGAAGATGAGGATGTCATCGAGGAACACGATGACAAAGCGGTCGAGGAAGGGCCAAAAAATGTCGTTCATAAGTCCCATGAACGTGGCTGGTGCGTTGGTGAGGCCGAAGGGAAGAACTCGAAATTCGAAGTGGCCGTAGCGGGTTCGAAACGCCGTCTTGCTGATGTCGTCTTCGGCGATGCGGATCTGGTGGTAACCGGATCAGAGGTCGTGCTTGCAGAAAACCGTTGCTTCCCCAAGCATGTCGAACAACTCCTTGACACGGGGCAACGGGTACTTGTTCTTGATCGTGATGGCGTTGAGGGCGCGGTAGTCGATGCAAAGACGCAGGTCACCTTCCTTCTTGCGAGTGAAAAGCACGGGGGCAGCGTATGGTGAGGTGCTAGGGCGGATGAAACCCTTCTCAAGAAGGTCGTCGAGTTGTCGTCGTAGCTCCAAAAGTTGAGCAGTGCTCATGCGATAGGTTGGGCGCACGGGCGGTGTAGAACATGGAATGAGGTGGATGCTATGGTCAATAGCACGCTCGGGTGGAAGTTCGGCGGGTAGATCATCGGGAAATACTTCCGTATAGCCGTTGAGCAGATTCTGTATGGGTGGTGGCAGTGAAGTAGCTGATGCTTCAGATTTGGGAGCCGTGAAGATGACTAGGAGATGATGAGGAGGAGGTGGTGAAGGAGGGGTGGAGGTTGGTGGATTGATTACTTCAGAGGCGGGGCGGATGATGGAACGGCGTGGCTGCTGGGTTGGGTGGGGTGGAGAAGGAGGAGGAATGTTGATCACTTCGGGAGAGCCGGGTGGTGTTGGCTGCTGCACGGGAGCTATGCGAGGAGGAGGGAGAGGGGGGATATGGGAAGATGGAGATGGGGCAGGTTGGGGTGGATGGGTTGATGAAGCTGAGCTGGTTGGGGATGACCATGGTCGGCGGAAGGAGTGGGATGGGAGGTCGTAGTTGCTGACGGTGACAGTTCCGTTGCGCCAATAAATCCGTGGTCCAAACTGGTGCAACCATGGTCAACCGATAACGCCTTCGTACCCGCCGAGATGCAGTTGCTCGAACGTGACCGTCGCCTCCAAGCTTCCAAACATGCAATGCACAGGGAGGAGAGTAGGTCCACAGCGCCGCCGAGTACGATCTGCCATGATCACATCCTGTGGGTTGCTGTTGGGATCTTCGGGGAGAGAAAGTTCAGCAGCAATTGCGGGAGAGAAGAAATTTGCTGAAGCGCCGGTATCGAGCAGAAAGTCAACGTATCGATTCTTTATTTTTGTGTGTAGAATGATGGCGGGGAATGGAGCGTTTGATGTGGTGTAAAGTTCAGAGGTGCCGATGAACAATGGGGTGGTGAGAAGCGGGGCATGCGATGCGCCAGAGGTCTGCCCCACATATACTGGCGCTGTCCGTTTCCCCGTCCTCCGTTCGGGCTGCGACGATTCGGGCAGTTCCGCTTGATGTGCCCCATCTTCCCGCATTGGTAGCACATGACGTTTGAGGCATTATGCGGCTGCCTCTCCATCATTCCCAGCTCCATGGGTGTAGGACCGTTTGCACGAGCAGCTGGAGCGTGATTTGTGTGACCCATCCTCATGCCGTTGAAGCGTTGGAACGCAGCGAAGTTGATCGTGTCGAAGCATTCCGCCACGCGGATCATATCATCCATCGACGTACATCCGCGAAGCTCCACTTCGGTGCGAATTTTTGGTTTCAGCCCGCGCTTGAACTTATCCATCTGCTCGGAGGCAGGGATATCGGGAATCTCCAGCACCAACTCCCGGAAGCGGTTGACATATTCGGCTACGGAGCAGTGTTGGCGTAGTGCAGCGAGGTTGTCACGAGCGCGTTCAATCGCGTTGACAGGTTCGAAGTTCATGGTGAGCGATGCTGAAAATTCTTCCCAGGTTGAGATTGTAGCGTGGCAGCTCTGCCACCAAGTAGCAGCAGCACCTCGCAGAATCATGCCGGCGTGCCGCGCCCATTCGGCTTGGTTCACGTGGCATAGGGAAAGGTACTCCTCCATTTGGAAGAGCCATCTTTGCACAGGTAAGTCCTGTTTTCCAGGGACAAACGGCTCAGGTTCAGGTGCTTTCAGACGTGCAGAGACCACAGCAGGTGCTGGCGCCGGCACGTGTGTGCCCAGGAGTCCACGTTCCTGTAGTTCGCCGAGGATCCGGTCACGCACTTCGCGTTCAATTTCTCGGCGCATGTTGGCTACAAACTCGTTCCAGAGTTCCGGAGTCATATCAGACGGCCCAGCCATAGGGTCTAGAATATGGCAGGAGCGTGCGAAGTGACTAACCAGGCTCTGATTACCAGTGAAACGTTGCTGGCAGGGAAGTAGCAGCCTTAGTAGGCTAGGAAAATGGGTATGAAGTGCTCTCTGGAGTTCTCTGGAATTCGCAATATGCCTTTACAAATTTGACAGTACAATTTTATAGAGCACATTCAGAAATCGAGTCGCACTACCAAGTCGCGACACCCTGAATACTCTATTGGTAACCCTTCCCTTGTAAATGAACCTTGAAGTGAAATTCAGGGGATTATTGCGGTACGGGATTGGTCGGCGAGTTTGATTACGGGGCTATAATTTCGTCGGCGTGGTTGGCGAAGTCGGCGAGGCGTCGGAAATTGGGTGTTCTGCGTTTCGTAATTTTCGCGCGATGGTTTGACTTGGGCTGCGTGTCAGGACCTGGTCGCCCAGCTGCAGGTTGAGGCGCTTGACTAATCGGAGGTTTGGGTGAGGTGGCGCTTGATTTCCGCCCACCTGCAGTGTACTTGGCAGCATTCGGCTGCCACACTGTTACACCCTGCCTTTGCGGACGGTGATGGTCATGGCGTTAGGGCATGAGTCGGCTGAGTATTGAGAGCCGGTGCTAAATGTATTGGTGCCACCAGTGGTACTTGCATCGCCGGTTGCGGCGGTGGTCGGTGTCAGAATCCCAACCACTAGACCATTGGGATAAAAGGGCTTGTTTGTGTAGTGGGTAAGTGCGCCCATAACCCCCCAGGCCAACGTGCCTGTAACCCTTCCCTAGGATCAATCGGGGATCACCAATGGACCTCTGACATCCCCCAGCTCTGGGATGCCCGAAGTGCACACACCGGGATTCGAAACCGAGACCTTCGCTCTGATACCATGTCAGAATCCCAACCACTAGACCATTGGGATAAAAGGGCTTGTTTGTGTAGCGGGTAAGTGCGCCCATAACCCCCTAGGCCAACGTGCCTGTTGTCAGATATGTATGACTTCGACTGTATGGGCTGTAGTGGGCTAGACTCTAAGGGATACAGGTTTCTAGGGTTTCACATTTGTATCCAACAGTTTCCTAGTTCATTCATTTCCTCTTTCTTTCACATGGTATAGAGCAGGTTCCCTAGTGGGAACGTTTCCTAGGGCCCACCACGATCGATTTTTTTTTTTCCTGCCCGGAGCGCGCTTCCCTCCTGCCCGAGTCTCGCCCCGCGTGCCTGCCCTCCTCTCGCGTCCCCTGCCCTTAGCGGCCCGTCGCGCTCCCTTACGGCCCCTCGCGGCCCCTACGCGGCCCTTCGCAGCCCTGCTCACGGCCCTTTCGTGGCCCCTTACGGCCCCTCGCGGCCCCTTCTAGGCCCCGTCGCCGCCCTTCGCGGCCCCGTCGCCGCCCTTCGCGGCCCCTCGCGGCCCCTTCTAGGCCCCGTCGCCGCCCTTCGCGGCCCCGTCGCCGCCCTTCACGGCCCCTAGCGGCCCCTTCGCGGCCCCGTCGCCGCCCTTCTCGGCCCCATCGCCGTCCTTCGCGACCCCTTCACGGCCCTTCGTGGCCCCTTCACTGCCCTTGGCGGCTCCTACTCGGCTCCTCCGCGGCCTCTACCTGCCGCCCCGCCGTCGCCGCCTCTGCAGCAGCAGCCGACGCCGCTCCAGCAGCGGGAGCCGCGACCGTCGCAGCCGCCGACAGCAGCAGCCGCCGCCGCTGTCCTGTAGCGGCCCCGTCCCTGCTGACGCGCCCCGGCCCTGCCCCACCACTTGCGGCACTCTACCCACCTTCCCTGGTAAGAGCACCACCGAGCTGCGCCCCTACTGTTACTACTGCTGCTGCTGCTGCCCCTAACCTGCTGCCACTACTGTCATGGCTACCCCTAGCGTTCTCGTCTTTGATGCTGAGGGTCGGGCTGTTGACTTTGAGGTCTGGGTCGATGATATACAGCTTTTCCTACAGTGCGATAGGAAAGACGGTCTCTCACTGTTCGATCTTACGTCTGGCGCCTCTGCTGCCCCTGCTGCCGATGCTGACAGTACTGTTCGCTCACAGTGGGCCACACGCGATGCTACTGCCCGTCTTGCTGTGCGTAGTCACTTGCCGTCCTCTGAGCGCGCGCACTTCAGTCAATACAAGAGTGCTAGTACCTTGTACGACGCTGTAGTCGCACGCTACTCTTCCCCTGCCACTGCTGCCCTTAGCCGCCTCATGCTGCCGTACCTGTTCCCTGACCTCGCCGCCTTTCCCACAGTCGCTGACCTCATTACGCACCTTCGCACTAGTGACACCCGCTACCGCGCTGCGCTTCCTGCTGAGTTCTGCGCCAAGAACCCCCCCCCCCCCCCCCCCCCCCCCCATGTACATCACCCTCTACTACATAGTCACCCGGCTCCCTGACTCCCTTAGCTCGGTCAGGGACCACTTCCTCTCTGTTTGCCCCACCACACTCACCGTTGACCTCCTCGAGGAGCGCCTCCTGGCAGCTGAGAAGAGTATAGTCGCTCTAGGAGCCTCTCGTGGTGACCCTCGTGCCCCCTTCTTTGAGGGGTGCTCCCCCTCCCCCCTTTTGCCCTCTGTTGCCTCTGCTGTTGCCGTCGACTTCGTTGGCACCGAGTCGGTCGGCGCTGCGTCTGCCCCTAGCGGGAGACTTCGCACCGGCAAGGGCAACGGGGGCAAGGGCGCTGGAGGGGCTAGCGGGGGCGGTGGAGGTGGCGGTGGAGGCGGCGGAGGGAGTGGGGGTGGCGGTGGTAGTGGTGGCGGGGGTGGGGGCTTCGGTGGCGGCGGTGGAGGCGGAGGCGGCGGCGGCGGTGGCGGTGGGAGCGGAGGAGGAGGCAGTGGCGGTGGTGGCGGAGGTGGTGGCGGCGGAGGTGGAGCTGGTCGGGGTGGCTCTGCGCAGCGGAGCGGCTTCGGTGGTGGTAGGCGCCAGCAGCAGCAGCGCACTCGTGAGACCCCCCCCCCCCCCCCCCCCCCCCCCCCCCCCCAAGTAGCTTCGTGAGTGGTACACTGCGCGTCAGCGGGGTGGGAGTGCTGGTCCTTGTGCCTACGTCCTACGTACAGGCGAACGCACTGGTAAGCCGTGCGGTGGCCCACACACCACCCAGCGCTGCTTCGGCCGCCTGACGGACGCTTGGCGTCTCCAGTTCCCTGACGCCACTGAGATCCCTCGCTAGGGCGAGCTGCTTAGGTCGGGGGTTGCTATCTTTGATCTGGATTATGATGCCATTCTTACTGCCGTGTATGTTGTGTCTACTAGTGATGAGGGTGACTGTTACCTGTGTGTTCCGCCTGACCCGGGCATTGCGGCTGCTGCGCTAGGTGCTGGTGAGGCGGCTGCTCTAGGTGCCCGTGCGTCTGCTGCTCAAGGTGCTGGTGAGTCTGCTGCCCCAGGTGCTGGTGAGTCTGCTCTCTCAGGTACCACGTCGGCTCAGGCCTTACACACCTTCACCCTTGACTCGGGTGCTTCCCGCTCCTTCTTTCGAGACCGCACCACGCTTACGCTGCTTGGTCTGCCAGTTGCGGTCTCCCTGGCGGACCCCTCTGGGGGTCCTGTCCTTGCCCACTTCTCTAGTGTCTTACCTGTTGAGATAGTAAGAGTAGGGCCTAGGCTTAGTAGCCTAGGCCAAACGGAGTCGAGAGAGTTTAGGCAAAGAGTATTTTCACTAGCAGGAATGAGGATACAAATAGCAAACCCTAGAAGGGTTGTACTCGCTATAGAGCACCTCACTACAGGCTAGAGCATAACATTTTGACACACCCCCATAGCCAAAGTGGGGTGTAATCAGTACAATGAGCAAGCAGGTATAGAGCAGGAGTTCACAAAGGTAAGCAAAGCTAGAGCTAATCACAGCGGGCAAGTGAGGAGGAGGAGGAGCTGTGGAGGTAGAGAAGATGGGAGGTAACGACTGAAGCTGCAGAGGCACGGGCACAGGAGCGGCTGACCCAGAGGCTACCGAAGCAAGGCGAGGGACTACAGGAGTAACTGGCTTGGCGGCTATAGAAGAGCGGCAGGAGCAACGGACCCACTGGCGACTGGTGCAGCAGGCTCACTGGCTACCGAAGAAAGGGCGACGGACTATTGGCGCTGCAAGCGACACGACAGGTACCTCCACACAACCTCCTCCAACTGCCCCACACCCTAGACACACGCCCATTGCTCAAACCCTAGCTCCACTCCCACGCACCCCACTTAAACCCTAAACCCGAGGCTCCCACACACCCACCCCCCTCAGTGACAGCCGCAGCAGTGAGAGACGAGGGAGGAGGAGGAGCAAAGGGAGGAATGCACAACCGCCACCCCCATACCCGCCACCCCCACAATCCCCACCCCCAAACCCTAATGCAGGGAGGAGCGTGGGAAGTAGGAGGGGCGGGTCACGGAGGGAAAGGGAGACGGCGGGGGGTATACAGGGCGCCACGAAGAAGGAGGGCGCGGCCCACAAGGGCGGCTCGACGGGCGACGACAGGGGCCGCGCGCGGGCCCCCAAGGCGCCGCGTCGAGGCGACGGTTGGGGCCGGCGCGCGGGCCCCCAAACCGCCGTAACGAGGGGACGTGAGGGGCCGGCGCGCGGGCCCCCAAAGTGCCGCGTCGAGGTGACGGGAGGGGCCTGCGCGCGGGCCCCCAAAGCGCCGCGACGAGGCGTCGGGAGAGGCCTGCGCGCGGGCCCCCAAAGCGCCGCGACGAAGTGACGGGAGGGGCCGGCGCGCGGGCCCCTAGGGCGCCGCGACGAAGTGACGGGAGGGGCCGGCGCGCGGGCCCCCAGGGCGCCGCGACGAGGAGAAAAACGCCGCGCGCCTCGGGGCGCACGGCGGGCAGAAAAACCCGAATTTCAGTGCCGCGAACCACGGGGAGCGCGGCGGACAGCACGGCAGCGGAAGTTGGTGGTGAGCGCAGACACAGGAAGGCGGCAGACATGCCGCCCTCTGATACCATATCGAGAGTAAAGTACGAGTTAGGAGCCATAGCTAGAAAAGCCCTAGCTAGGCAAGAGAAAGTTTAGGCAAAGAGTATTTTCACTAGCAGGAATGAGGATACAAATAGCAAACCCTAGAAGGGTTGTACTCGTTATAGAGCACCCCACTACAGGCTAGAGCATAACATTCTGACATTACCGTGTCCGACGGCCCCCTCTGGCACCCTGTCAGGTCTTTACCTCCCCTCGTTCTCTACGAACTTGGTGAGTGGTGCTGATCTACAGGATGGGGGGGTTGACCAGTTCACTCCTGCGAGTCAGCGAGTGACCCACTGTACGTGTGCTCGGACGGGCCGACACTTGGCCACGTTTACCCGTCGGCCGGGGTCGAGCTTGTACACACTGACTACTGAGTCTCCTCCGGTTGCTGAGTCTGGTCAGGTAGCTTCGTCGGGTCAGGTGTTTGCTGCAGCGTCCAGGTCTGGTCCTGAGTCTGCTCCCTGCTCGTGTCATCTCCTGTCCCACCAGACTCTCCTCTGGCACCACCGCCTTGGTCACCCCTCCCTGCCTCGTCTCCGAGGCATGGCCTCCCGTGTCCTTGTCTCTGGTCTCCCCCGGTCCCTCCCTCCCCTCCCTCCGGGGCCTGCCCCTACCTGCGTTCCCTGCGTCGAGGGGCGGCAGCGCGCCGCCCCTCACTCCTCCGAGTTTCCTCCGACAGAGGCTCCGCTGCAGACTCTTCACATGGACGTGTGGGGCCCCGCCCGCGTCTGTGGCCAGGGTCACGAGCGTTACTTCCTATTGGTGGTTGACGACTACTTGTGTTAAACCATGGTGCTCCCCTTGCGCAGCAAGGGTGACGTCACTGAGGTGTTGATTGACTAGATCCGCGCAGCTCGTCTCCAGCTCAGAGAGAGTTTCGGCTCGGACTTTCCTGATCTGCGTCTGCACTCTGACCGAGGCGGAGAGTTTTCCCCTGGCCTTCTGGGAGCCTTTTGTCGTGCACAGGGCATCCGCCAGACGTTCACGCTTCTGGACTCTCCACAGCAAAATGGGATTGCTGAGCGCCGCATTAGCATGGTCATGGACGTCGCTCGTACGTCCATGATCTATGCGGCTGCTCCCCATTTTCTTTGGTTGTTTGCGGTTTGGTACGCAGCGCATCAGATCAAACTTCAGCCCCGGGTCTCCTTGCCAGAGACCTCCCCCACCTTGCGGTGGACGAGGAAGGTTGGCGATGCGTCTGCGTTTCGTGTCTAGGGATCTCGGGCGTTTGTCCGCGACTTGTCTGCGGACAAGCTGTCCCCCCGTGCTGTTCCCTGCGTCTTCCTTGGCTTCCCCCCTGACGCGCCTGGTTGGCAGTTTTACCACCCCACCTCGCGTCGTGTTCTGTCCTCCCAGGACGTCACGTTTGACGAGTCGGTTCCTTACTACCGTCTCTTCCCCTACCGCACTGCGCCCCTCCCCCCGCCGCCGCTCTTCCTTGCGTCAGGTCCCCCCCCGGTAGACCCACTCCCCCCTCAGGGTCCTGCCCCGTCGGGTGTGTCCCAGGTAGACGCAGTCGAGCCTATCGAGGTAGCTGTTGAATCTGGTGCTGCTAGGGGTGCTGACCCTCGGGGTGCTCAGTCTGGGGGTGCTGAGCATGGGGGTGCTGAGCCTGGGGGTGCGGGGCCTGGGGGTGCGGAGCCTGGGGGTGCTGAGCCTGGGGGTGCGGAGCCTGGGGGTGCGGAGCCTGGGGGTGCTGGGTCTGCTCGTGTGGCCTCTGGTGGTGCTGGGTTTGGGGCCCCTTCCGATGCTTCGTCGAGGCGAGAGCCACCCTCTCCATAGGAGCTGCGCGAGTGGTTTGCCCGGCGCTGGAGCTGTGCAGCTGGAGCTGGAGGTACTTCTGTTGCTGCTGACCCTGGGGTGGGCGCTGGAGGTACAAGAGCCACTGGTCCTGGAGGTGCTCGTACTGGTGGTACTAGAGCTGCTAGGACTGGGGGTGCTACTGGGGCTGCTGGAGTTGGTTCTGCTGGAGGTGCTGCGGGTGCTGCTGGAGGTGCTGGAGCTGTTGGGGGTGTTGGCACTAGAAGTGCTGTTGGCGCTGGTACTTCTGCGGGTGCTGGAGTTGGCGCTGCTGGAGCTCGAGGTACTGCTGGTGCTAGTGCTGCCGCTGGGGGTTCTAGTGCTGTCCCTGCTGTTTTAGGAGGCACTGCGCGACCACGGCCGTACTTCGTTCCGCTCCATGAGCAGGTTCTTGGTCTCCCGCCTTCTACTGGTCCTGCTCCTCCCTTGGAGTGTCCACAGCCTGTCCGGTCGCAGTCACAGTTACAGTCCGCCTCCCCCCTGCCTGCTCCTTCCCCCTACACTGGTCCTACTGGAGGTCTTGCTGAGCGTCGTGAGCCTGCGTCTCGTCCTGCGTCGCCTGTTCGTGCTGCTCGCACTAGTAGTCGTGTTCCGCGTCCGCGTCCTCCTGCGGTCCCAGGCACACACTAGATGGCACTGCGTCCTTCTACTGCTCCTCTGCGTGTCCCTTTGCCGTCTCCTCCAGAGTCCTCTCTTCCTGTTCTTGCTGACCCGGAGTCTGACTCTCTTCGTGCTGCCAGTCCTACTGTCACGCGTCTTCTCGCTACTGCTGTCACTGACCCTTCCTTTGCGTCCACTGCTGCGTCTGCCTTAGTTGCTGAGCTTGTCGACTTTGCTGCTCGCTGTCGTCTAGACTACGCCTCTAGTCTTGTTACTGAGTCTGAGTCTGTCTGTCCTCTGTCCGTCGGGGGTGAGTGTGCTCTTAGCACGGACGTCCTTGAGGACAGGCAGGAGGAGTCCCAGTGTTTTGCTGCTGCTTTGCCTTATCTCGTGTCCATGCTGATTGCCCCTGAGGGAGACCCGGATGCACCAGACATCCCGACTCCTCGATCGTACGCTGAGGCGATCGAGGGTCCCTACTCCTCACACTGGTAGTCAGCCATGGACGCAGAGATGGCTTCCTGGAAGTCCACAAGCACCTATGTCGACGAGGTTCCCCCACCTGGGGCGAACATCGTCAGTGGCATGTAGATTTTCAGGGTGAAGCGGCCGCCGGGTTCTCCGCCTGTCTTCAAGGCACGTTACGTGGCTCGAGGCTTCAGTCAGTGGCAGGGAGTTGACTACTTTCAGACCTTCTCTCCCACCCCGAAGATGACCACTCTTCGGGTGCTGCTGCACATAGCCGCTCAGCGCGACTACGAGCTTCACTCTCTTGACTTCAGCACTACTTTCTTGCAGGGCAGCCTGCACGAGGAGATCTGGCTGCGCCGCCCACCTGGCTTCACTGGGTCGTTTCCTCCTGGTACCCAGTGGAGCCTCCGGCGGCCAGTCTACGGTCTCCGCCAGGCGCCCCACGAGTGGCACGACACACTGAGGACTACACTTGCGGCTCTTGGGTTTGCTCCTTCTACTGCTGACCCGTCGCTGTTTCTTCGCACCGACACCTCTTTGCCGCCGTTCTACATCCTCGTGTATGTCGACGACTTGGTCTTTGCCACTGCTGGACTCGCCCATGTGAAGTCCGAGCTACAGAAGAGACACATGTGCACTGACCTGGGTGAACTGCGCAGCTACCTTGGCTTGCAGATCACCCGGGACAGAGCACAGCGCACCATTACCCTGACTCAGTCACACATGGTGCAGCAGGTCCTTCAGCGCTTCGACTTCACGTACTCC